AAAAAAAAGATAGTATACAAATCATCAAAAAGCACCAAAGCTTCGGATTGCTGCCCTCACAATTAATAACCAAGTTCTACATATAAGCTGATCGAAATTCGAAAAGAATCATACAATCCAAAAATGTGCCAAACTTCTCCAGTTTAATAATTCAAAAAAGTAAGCTTTCTTTCATCCTTCATTTGTTTCTTTCCACAGAAAAGTATTTGCTTTTAACAACACAGGGCACAACTTCCCAAATTATTTGTTCATAGTGTCCACCTACATCAGTACATGTTTATGCCAGGGATATGTGGGCCACAAAAGAGCAAAAATTAAAAAGCCATCAACATCAATGGTGTGAAAATGACTAACCACTCAAGGTGATGATCAACCCTGCTTGAACAACATGATGGCATCAAAGCATAAATAATTTCCAATATGCAAAATGTAAACAATAGCAATTGTAACAAATAGATCCAAGTGTAGTATGCATATTGTTGAGGGTCTCCTTACCTGTTCATGGGTAATGCCGATAATTTCCAAAACCATTTCTTGAACCTCACGCTTAAAAATTCTCAAACTTCCTCCACCAATCTAACAGAAAACAAGTTAAATCACACTATAATTTTTGAGTGCCCCATACATGTGAGCATTGGCAAAAATCAGAACAGCAGCTACTAGAGAAAAGCATGTCTACCTCAACTCCATTGTAAACCATGTCATAAGCTAAGGCACGGGCACAGGAAAGATCCTTCATATCTTCAGGGTTTGGGGCAGTGAAAGGATGATGCAAGGCCTGCAAAATAACTAAAATCCCATGAGGTTTACGCTAGTAAGATACCTGCTGGATAAAGATGGCTGGCACAACTACTACCAACACAAAAGCATGTCAACACTTGATTTATCTTTTCCATAACTCGTACTTAGACGAAAAAATAATTATACTGCCTCCCACTGTAGGGTAGTGTTCGCATTTCTCTAGATTTTGATGGACAAAAACTCCCCTATATTGGACCATTTATTACAAAAAACAAAGGCTATTTAAGTATTTTAATAGTTTTTAATTTCACTTTTTCTTTTAGGTTTTTCATGCTTGTCATTTTTCCTCTTGATGACTCGGTTGCATAAACAGGTTGAACTCACCCCAAAGTGTTAGTTTCTGTTTGGTCTGATTTCCCCTATTTATATTGAAGTCACATGGTGGTTTGGATACTGGGTGGCTATAGTGATTGTGGTTATGGCTGCAAACAAACAGATGTTAATGAACATATCGGGATAAGGTCGGACAGAAGCTCCTTCAAATTTGTTAATTTACAAAACGGACCAAGCTCAAGCTCAATTTTGAAGCTCGTTTGACAATGAGCCAAGCCCAAGCAATGGCTTGTTAGGATTGTTGGGTTCATGAATATAACATAGAATGTGTAATGTAATGTTATTTATTACATATTTTCTATACATGATATAACATTAAATATTATGACCCGTATACAATATTATTCATATGTAATATATGATATCATATGTGTAAATGAACCGAGCTTGATCATGAGGAAAAGCATAAATTTGAGTTTAAGCTCAAACACAGCACAAGCTATGTTTTCAGACAGAGTCAAGCTCGAATACTCTTCACGACTGTGCGAATCAAGCACAAACAGTCTGGTGGTGCTCGGCTTGGCACCACTAATATTGATCATTAATTGTAGCCAAAGTTGATTAGCTTAAAATTCATTATGACACACATGGAACACATAGTTCTAAAAAGCAGACCCTTAAGTAATGGTATCGACGGCAACCAATCTCACAATACCCTAATTTTGCGGCCAAATTTTCTTCACACCAATTGCTATCGTTGCGGCACCATAATGGCCCGCAACGGGTTCGTAACGCCTGTAACAGACAATAGGGGTCAATCAGGCCGATTTGGATTGTTATGACCCCATAACCCGTGTGAATACAAACAACCATACATGTTGGTATTCTATTTAGTTTCTACATAATTATCAACCATAGCACCTACCAGAAATCACACCTTCATCGATGACGATGACAGCTGTCGTTGAAGGTCTCAACGTCCATGTCATCTTTGTAGGACTTGATGATGTCCACTTTTGGACAGCATGTCGCCAGACTTGATCTTCGAAGTTCTACCGTGATAGTCCAAGGGATGAAGTTGTGGCGGAAAAATGGAGTTGCAAGGAGTTGGAGAATAGAGATGAGAAGAAAAAAAAAAAGGCTGGAGTTGCAGTAGAGAGAGGGTTTAGTTGACAAAGAACATGAGGCTAGGGTGGTTGGAGCCTTGGAGTTGGAAGTGTTTGGATCCTAATAACATCTATTTCATTATTGAATATTTTACATTGATCCATTTCTGGCCGATGTTCCCACTGACATTTATGTTCGTGACATAACTGTCTCTAATGTTCTTTTTCTTCTAATTTATTTGTGACTCGTCCTCTTATTGTGCATACATATGCTTGTAGGATTTCACTTGTCTCTTCTACAATGTGTTGTCTCCCGCCTTCTCTACTGTCATTCAATCAAATTTTGACAATGTGAATCGTGTTCCTCGTTGTCCTTAACGATCTCGTAAGGGTCCAGATCAGTTTTATTTCTCAAACTCTTGTTATATTACTAATTTTTGTTCTTTTTTAGTTTCTATCTGCTTCTGAAAACCTACCTTCCTCCTATAAGGAGGTTTTTCTTGACCCTTTTTGAAAACAGACTATGGATAAGGAACTTGCCACTTTACATAAGACTAAGACTTGGGAGTTGGTGGCATTACTTGAAAAAACACACAGTTGGTTGTAAATGGAATTATAAAATTACGACCAAATCTGACGGTGTGGAATGGTACAAGGCTCAATTGGTAGCTAAATGATTTACACAAAAGTATGGCATAGACTATGAAGAGACATTTGCCTTTGTAACTAATATGACCATTGTTCGCACTGGATGTCATTCATTAACAGGGTTATCCTCAAATGGATGTGAAAAATATCTTTCTTAATAGAGATTTGACTGAAGAAATATTTATGGCTCCACCTCATCGATTACCTCTAAATCCGAGTGAGATGTGCATACTCTACAAGGCATTATATGGTCTTAAACACGCTCCCAAGGCATTATTTGCCAAATTTTCTTCTGTCATCTGTGATTTGATTTTTCGTGCCAATGACCATGCTTCTGCTCTCTTTCTGTGATTCTCTCCCTTAAGTTCTACTATAATTTTATTATATATTGATGATATGATCATTACAGGTGATAACATTGCGAGCATTTTGTTGTTAAAAAATCAGTTGCAAGATCCCTTTGAAATGAAAAATTTGAGTCAGCTCCAATATTTCTAGCCTCTAAGGTATTTAAGTCGCATCTTCTCATAAGAGTTATCTTCTCTCTCAATCTAAGTATGCCTTAGATATTATATAGCGAGCCCGTTTATTTGACATAAGACAGTTGAGATGCCCTTAGAGCTTAATGCTCATCATTCTTCCTCTAATGGCATTCCATTATTTGATCCTACACTAGATCGCACTATTGTTGGTAGTCTGGTGTACCTTATAGTTACTCGCCCAGACATCTCCTATGCAAGTCACATATTCGCTTGATTTCTTTGGGCCCATAATTATTGAACTAATCCTTGTTTGCTCATGGATAAGATTGATTTTGTTTGGATCCTCATCAGCCCAATAATTTTTCCATTTTGATAAGTTTTATTTTACACAGAAATCATAATATTTGCATAACTTTATTCATATTTAAAACATTATATAAATATACTACTACTACTAAACAAGTCAATATCATTTTTGTGATCCCTAAATACCCATTTCGGCATGATTTTTAAAGTTTAAACGTGCAAATATGCACATGTAAGAGGTTTGAATTGAAAAATAAAAAACAGGCATCCAGGTTTTCGTTACGATTGCGTAACACCCGTCACACCCTGCATTCATAACATTGTTATTGTTGCCATTATTTAAAACAAAGGTAAAGGGTTGACCTAATCAATGTGGCGTTGGATAGCTATCATCTAGCTATGATGGCATACATCCCAATCCTTTAAGATTTTAGGGTTTGGCACAAATGTGGACCATCATGACTACAAAGATGTGATTCGCATTTGCATGTGTCATCAACCACTAGTGACAATGGCCATGACAGTATTTGAACTCAAATTTGATAGCGATGGTGGCCAATTAATAGTAGTCCGGCCTAGTGAAGACAAAGAAATAGAGATGGGGCAAACATCCATCCTAAAGACAAAAGAATAATGGAATATTTTGGCCCATCATTCTGAGTGCCCCGCTAACACCACTCTATAGTAGGGAAGTTCATAAGAAAGGGCGGGATACTTTCTTTCTCTTTCAATAGTGATGTGAATGGATTACATGTGTTACATACTTAAGAACTTAAACTTTTAGAAGAGTAGGTGGTTTAACGTTATATCAGAGAAAGAGCTTATATGTTTGAATCTTGCTGCCACTTTGATAATTATAAAACTTGTACGTACTTATCCAAAATCTTGACGTGATGTTGAAGAATATAAACACTTATGCTACACTCTCTAACAGCCTATGAGTTGTTGTTTTAGCAGGTAACATATCCCATAAGAATAATAGTTACGAACAACTCATATAAAAATTTTGGAAGATTCATTCAGAACAATGCAATTCCCTCCTCCAATTAGCAGCTGACTACATGTAACAGGTAACTGCAATACATTCTAAATTTAGAAAAGAAGACATTTTATTAACATAATACATACCTCAAGCCTCTGTTCCGCACTATTCCACTCAAACATTGGAAAATCAGTCACCCACAAAATGGAATGTCTGGTCTAGATATTACACAAACACAATAAAAATAAGGGGAGATTCAGACAGACAGACAGACACACAGACAGAGAGATGTAAATTTTCAAAACTGAAGTTGTGCTGCCAACTTACATGGTCAACCAAGCCCAATTCATGAGCTATATATCCCCTCAGCCGGTCTAATGTTTTATTAACTGACACATGGTGACCAACTGCAAACAAGACAAGATCACCAGATCCGGCAGAAAAAATCTTCAGCAACTTCTCTCTTTTTTTTGAATCCAAACTTGATACTAATGCAGGAATCCCTTCAATGTCCCCTACAAATTAAAAATTCATTGTCAATGGTGAATAGTAACATCACTTTTCACCAATTATGCATATGCATAAACTTTTCAAAAGAATTTCTTTTTACCATCATTCAAAACTTTTAGGAAAGGCAAACCCTTTGCTCCAGATTTGATTGCTGCATTGTAAATATCACCCTTCTTAAGAGCAGTGTTTGAGTAAGTTTTTGCCCCAGAAGGCACACATAATGCCTTAATATTTCCCCCACTCGCCAAGGTATCAGCAAAAACTTTGAAGGAAGAGTCTAAGAAAATATCAGATACCTATAAGTTCCAACAAAAACTATTAAGCTCTTTCATAAACAAAAAAACAATCAGGAATCTCTAACAAATGTAGAATCAATTTGATGAAAAATGATCAAAACAAAATTCCCACCAGGTTAGTACAGTGCCAAAACATATGACAGGTTAGCAATTGCAGGGACGCGCATGGAAATTGATTAAGTAAAAGCTATATTTGAAACTGAAAACTCAAACCAGGACACAAAAACAAACATACCAACTCCCTTTCTCCAAAGACATTATGAAGCAGATACATTATGAACTAACTTATCAGAAATGAAGGCCAAGTTTAGAATTCTCTATCTATTAGTACAATCAAAACAAAACAATTTGATACACGAGATATATCAAATATATTACAAACAAGAGAAACATAACAAACGGGGTCTTAAGTACTAAATTTGACTGGCAGAACTTGTATCAACCATGCAAGTTTATAACTGCTCTGGCACAGATAGTAGAATACATGAATAGGAAATTACTCAATATTGTAGGGAGAGAATAAGAGAAGTAAGCAAGTAAAGAAGTTTGCTTGGACAGCAACCATAGATAACCTAATATTTTTTAATTCTAGTTTAGAGCTGCAAGTTTTTTGTTTTCTCAAAAACATATATATCTTAATTGATCTCTTTTCAAGCATTGAAACCTGGTCTAGGTTAGGTTTTCAAGATAACTACTGAGGACATATTGAGGACATAAAATGCCTTGGATCTGCATTGTGCAATATTGTCTAATTTGGGCTAAGCCCATGCAGCTTTAAAAACGCATCATACATGGAAAGTTCAAAACTCAAACTTATCAGCATTTTACATAAACTTCACCTAGTGATGTGTGATTGGGTCACCACACGCCACTCCCGTATGCCCAAACATCCTTATTTGATCCTGGTCTATATTTTCAAGATAACTTAATTGTGGAATTGTAAGGCTCGGGACCTACATTGTGTAATATTGGCTGCTTTGGGCTAGACCACACGCATTTTACATGAGGAGTTCAAACCTAAAACTTATCAAGCATTTGACACACCACCAAAAGAGGTGTGATTGGGTCACCATAATCCATCCCAATATGTACAAACATCCTCATCTAGTATCCATCCTGACCCAATCACCATCCCAAGCAATCGTATAGATGGACCAGATCCACCAAGTGAGACTACATGACCTCCCCACCAAAAAAGGTCAATTGGCTTGATAACATTTGAAATACCCCTAACCCATATTGTACAATATTGTCTGCTTTGTGACGTACCCATATATTCTTGAAATGCGTTGTAAAATGAAGGTCCCTAACTCACACCTATCAAACCCTCATGCACAATTCAAGAGGCAATGTGGGATTGGGTCACCACAATCCACCCCCTCATGCCCAAATGTCCCTAGTTAGGAATCGTTCCAACCGGGTAATGTGAGGTTCTGAAGGATGATTCCATCAAGCTAACTGCCACCATCCCAACCACACTAGCTGCCTCAATATTCCCTCTACCATTTTCAAAATAGTGATCATGTGTAGAGAAGTCAATTATGAACACAAAAATAAGTTTGATTGGGTCAGGTACTTTCTCCATATGCCTTTGAATCGTTCTTTATCTTCTTTAGCTCCCAACTTTTCTTTTTGTACTCCTAATGCCTCTAATAACTTGTTTGATGTTTCATATCTTGTTGAAGATTATAAAGTTCCAATAACTCATGTTTTTGTTGTAAATTCGTATTTGGTTTTTTCCAAACCTTACTGCCTTTTAAAACATGTGATAAAAAACTTTTGGGATCCTCCACAAGAATAAAGGTTCTTGGATAGATTCAAGCCTCTATATTCGATCAATGCTCCATTCTATCCCCTCCATTTATGTAACCAATCTAAGCATTATGTCCCATTCATTTGGTCCCTCTATTTATATAGTTAAGTTTAATAATTGATCGATTGAGTATTTTTGTAATTCTCAAGCTAGGAAAAAAAAGAAAGTTAATATGAGGCAGAAATCATTTCAATTGAAGTCAAACACTTCTTCATCAAAAAAACACAATAAATGCTCATGAGTAAAGAACTAAATCCATTTCATTGGATCAGTGCAAGCTCTAGGTAATCATTTTGAGAAACTCCATATGTGCTACAAAGATGTCAACAATATCTAGCCCAACTCATATATTTATGATAATATGCATCATACTCTGTCCTCAACCTTGCAACACTACGTCCAATCTGTTGAGAAAGATGCATCAGCCCCTGCCCTGCCCAACCTCTGCTTTGTGTATATGAGGACCATGTTTGGAGTAATAGCTAGATCCATAATCACAAATTGAGAATCCATGCTCATATCTTCGTGGTTTATACCCCCATCCATAATCATATGATGGAATATCTCAATATCATATCCAAACCTATAACCATATGAAGATGATGAACCATAGTCATGGTTTTCACTTGCACTTACTCTTGTACTAGACAAACCATCAATCCAACTTAATGCATAACAACATCTATACCACATAAAGTGGTAGAATTCTAAGTATGCTCCTGTCGACGATCTTGTCGACCTTGCCATCCATATTGAAGCATACAGAGAATCATGATCCTCTTTTGTGTGGCATGTGTAAATTCTCCTCTCCACTTGCGACGAACCAGTAATGACTCACCACAATCTCCATCATCATCATCTTTAACCTATCCATCATCATTGTTACATTTACCAACATGTTCATCACCATTATTACTACTGATAAGAGAGACCACTTATCTGTCTCCCAAACTCTTCATCATCTATTGGTGAGGTAGTTCTCATTGTTTTACTTGATACTTTTCCACTTAATTTAGACCTTAATTTGCCTTACTCTTCTTGCATTATCATCGCATAAACAATTAGCCCATGTTGCCAAGAAAGTGTTTTGGGCTAGTTAGTTCCCCATTGTCACAAAGTTCATAAAAAAGTGCATCACCATGATCATCTAATCACTTTGAAATGTCTTCATCTCCTTGAAATACAACATTTAAGTCAATAAATTTGAATTCATATCCTTTTCCTTCCTTCATAAGGTGTTTTAACTTCAACCTCATGTTATATTATGCAAACACCACGTTTTCCAACCTTTGATAATTGAGTCGATTGCACACTTCAGTATAAATGAGGGCAAAGACGCTCCAATTTCTTTTATAACCCTTTTTTTTAACCACTTTTACAACCACTTGGATAAGGTTGTTTGGGATATTATTCTCATAGCAATCTTCCTTAAATTAAGAGCATCACTGTCATAAGTATACCATGATTCAGTTGTACAATAATTAGCAACATATTAATAATCATAACCATAAAAAAAAATGAAGACAAATGTGATAGTTAAGCAACCTAGGGTGCGTTTTGGTAACAACTTCGTTTTTTGTTTTTTTATGTTCATTTTTTGCAAAAATAAAAAACAAAAATGCATTTGGTTCGTATTTTTATTTTTTTCAAGCCAAGCTGTTTTGCCAGATTTTGAAAACAAAAATTTGGTGTTTTAAAAAACACAAAAAACTAGAAACACGCGGGAAGGCAAAAAGACTTTAATGAGGTCGTCCACCCTTCATTTCATTAGAAGTAAAAAATTGGGTTTTTTGAGAACATATGTAAGGAGGTATGTTCAACGTCTCTCTCTCTCTTGATCCCTGTGTGTTTGTATGTATGTACTTTGTATGAGTGGATGTGTTTGTTGTGTGTTTTGTGTGTGTATGCGTGTGTAAGTCTATGTATGTAGACTCCCAATAACACACGGTGGCATGCTAATGTTTTTGTTCTGGAGGACATTCAGCTTATAGCAATATGCATTTTCTAACGTGTTGGTATATTACTGGACGTAGTACTCCACAATTTATTAGTTATATCTTTTGTCTGTCATTATTTTTTGTGTTAGATGCAAAGATCAAAATATCGTTTCGAAACGGTCGAAACATTCAAAACATTTCCATTTCTAAGGAGACCGAAACGAATCAGTGATGGAATCGAAATTCTAATACTTCGAAGTATCCCATAATATTTCGAAATATTTTGTTATATTTCAATGCATTTACACAATTTATTTTGAATGTTTCAAGGTATTTCAAAATATTGATATATTTTGACCAATGTTTTGAAAAAATAATTTTTAAATTTTTTATTTTTTTTCATTCTCTTTTTGAAACAGGTCGAAACATGTTGAAACGTTTTTGAAACAAATCAAGACGTTTCCATTTCCTAGGTAACCAAAACAATGCTTTGAAACAAAATTTTGATCCTTGATTAGATATATGATTTACATAAAGCTTATCTTAATTCTTGATTACAATGTCTAGAAGATTGAAATTTTGTCTGTCGATTATGGACTCTGAATTAGTAATTATGAATTATGCACATAAAAAGTGTTAGTTCCTTGAAGACATGTTTCATTATTAAAAATTGTTAATTTATTCAATAATAATTCCAGAGTGTCACCGGTATTGTTTTTCCAATGCATAAAAAAACCCCACCAAAACACTGTAATAACAGTAACCTAATCCAATAAGAACTCCTTAATATTTGTTGATCGAGTTTTCAGTGAAAATTAATCACTTTCTTGCGCATTGGGTACTATCAAGATGTGCCTTATTGACTAGCCAACTAGAAAGCACAGACACTGATACGAGATACGGGTATGACACGATATGAGTACAATATGGATACGGCAATACGACAAAATTTCAAAAGGTATATTTTATATTACGTATATAAAACGTATATTTTATATTTGTACTATCATGTAATGATGTGATAACTAAGAAACATGGATACGGATACAAGAGATGGCTACAATACGATACAGATACGACGATATGTCAAAACTCTAAAAATTAGGATATGGGTACACCTAGGTTACGTTTAATAATTAAATATATTTTACATTTTTATTATTACATGATACATAATTGTTGAAATTTTGAATATATTTTAAATACTTAATTTATATATATATATATATACACACTTAAAAAAATCACATTGGGCTAAAGTCCAATTGAAAACAGCAAGAAAAGGTCATCAGAATCTCAACTAAACACCACGTGAGGAAAGCTGTGAAAACTAGTACTGATTAAAAAAAGAGGAAAATGTGCCAAACAAGATGATAAGGTAATCCCACAACGGGATTGATACATTGACATGTGGCTAATGAAGGACCCTTTTATCTCCTACTTTAGTCAAAAAGTTATTCTCTCGTTTTCGTTTTCTAATTTATGAAATACATGTGTCTTGAGAACTGTGCAATTACGAGAGTT